ATAGTATTTCAATAATCTTTCAATAGTATTTCAATAATCTTTCAATAGTATTTCAATAGTATTCCAGTAGTATTTCAATAATCTTTCAATAGGCTTTCAATAATCTTTCAAGAGTATTTCAATAATCTTTCAATAGTGTTTCAATAGTATTTCAATAATCTTTCAATTAGGCCATAAGTGGCACGTATCTCTCCGCAGTGGAATCCATTTTAGGTGTGTTAGTGGTGCTGTGGGTGCTCCCAGCTCAGTGACGAATATAGTAGAATATACGTCATTGGTCCAGCTCTTCTTGAAGGCGGGTCAAATGTTACCTGCTCACTTTGCAGTGATTCGATGGACCAACTCTCCTCTCGCCGTTCAAACTGACGAACAAATCAAAAAACTGCAACGTGAATGTAACGTGCAACGCAACACATTATAGAAATGTACTGTAGAAGAAAGTACAGATAATGTAAAATGTAATGGAGTAAAAGTCAAAAGTCCCCACGCTGAACTCTAAAGTAAAGTACAGATACATGAAAAATGTACTTAAGCACAGTAACAAAGTACTTGCACTTAGTTACATCCCACCACTGATGGAGTTCCAGGCTTTATAGAAATGTATGAGAGACCTGGTCGCGTTCTTAGATTCACATACAGATTAGACTGGAAGTACTCGCCCCGCACCTCGGAGGCTCGTTCGGCTGTTTGTCTGCCTGCCTCACAGAGACCTTTAGATCACACGCATGAAGTGTGAATTGGAGTGGAGCCGACTGGGAATCAGGCCTAAGTCTGCACTGTAAGTTTTTGAAATCTGAAATCTGATGTCGTTTACGCGACGCGTTGTTGAAGTGGAAACGGACGTGTTGAAGCGCTCGTTCTCTCTGATCGAGAGAAATCTCAAACTCGAACCCCACACTCTCTGTTCTTTGAATCGAGAAAGCTCCTCGGATGAGAAGCGAAACGTCTTCAGCTACAGAACAGAGTCCAGTTGTTTTAGTCTTTAACCGTTTTTTTTTTTTTTAGATTTACCATCTCCTGGATGACTGAGAATCGTCACCAGCGTCTGTACGATTCACTTCAATTCACCTCTATGATTTCTCTAGACTGCATTTCCAAAGGAATTAGAGCAAGATAGATTTAGTGTTTCATTACTTTTCATTTATACGCATCTGTTGTGTACATGCATATTTATAAAGCTGTGCTCAGAGGAGTTTCGCTCCGTTTCAAAAGGGGATCTGGTAACTCCACCTTTACAACAAGGACATGTTTATTAAAGGATACAAACATTTAGAGGCTTTTAATGAACGAACAGTTGTTAATTTAATGCTCTTTGAGTTCCAGGTTGCTAAACTAATTTAATGGTGGGTTCCTCAGGTTTGCTTGAAAACGACATAATTATAAATTCATTCTCAAACATTAAGCTATTCATACGAGCTTATTTTTACTTTGAATTGGAAAAGAAATACTTAAAGAATACTGTAAATTTTTAGGGGCGTCCTGAACGGATCCGAACAGACACGCACGCTCAGATTTTTTTTTATGCTGTTGTTTCTCTTTTGACTGGAAACATTCTTCTGCTCTCCAGACACCGTGCACTGCGCTGTCTGGCTTTTCTGCTGCCTCCACCTACACTTACTGAAAAGCCTTTTGAATGCACCTACCTCTTGTGGTTTCACTGCAGTGCAGGAAAGGTAAAAGAAGGAGGTAGTAGTGAGTTCTGAGATGAAGTACAGAACCTTTTGTTGCCACTTGGGGTAGTGGGGGAAAAACAAAAAAACTACTACAACATTTACCAAACTGAGAAACTGTCAAAGGGAATGCTATGGCAACCAGTTGTACTTATCTGCTAAACAAAAAGCAATATCAACAATCATCAGAAATATTTGCTAATAGATAATTTGCACATCCCTCCATCACCCCCATAGTTATTTACGCCACCATTTGGGATATTGTGTTTCAGATCAAACCCATTAGCACGGCATGCCTTGCTGTGCAAAGAGCATTTTTAAGTGCAACACTATAAAATCATACAAGGCATCACTCTATTGCCAAAATCTCAGTTATGAGCGAGGAACCGTATTTTCACAATTGTTGAGTAGAACACTCCTAAAGACTGGAGTTACTGGATTCAGGTGCACCTAATTATGTAATTAGCTCTTAAACCCCTAATCCAGGGGTGCCCAAGCTTTTTCCCTGCGAAGGACAAAATGAAAATCTTATCAGACAGCTATGGGTCAAATGCAATAATATGGTACACGAAATGCAAATACTTCTTTAAGTAAAGTCCTTTTTTTTTTTTTTATACAGTTATTTAACATTCCTTTCTGTCTAAAGAACATTACAGAACAAAATACAACTAATAAGTCATATATAGGAAAATAAAACATCTAAATTTCTGTATTTTATTATAATTATATGTAGTGCAAAATGTTAAAAGGTGCAACACAACAATAATACGGCACTAGTGAGCAACATGAAGCTGGTGTTTGGCTCTAATCCGACTCTGTATCGTGCTGCAGCTGACTCAGCTTGTTTGAGCTATCTGCTAATGTGTTGACCCGCAAACCTTTTTCTTGTAGGTGCGCGAGTCAGTCTGCTTTGGCAGCAAAGGCTCATGGGATATTTCATAAATTGAAAAAATATGAGGGTGGGGGGGCAAGTAGATGGAGCGCTACCGCCATAGTCATAGCTTTTGAGCTAGCGCGTATGTATTGCGTGCTGTTAGCTTAGCGCTACGTCAGTGCTGGCAGTTGTTGACGGAGGGTGGGGGTGTTGATAGGCAGGGCACTTGGTTCGGGCCAATTCAAACGGCTTGGCGGGCCAACTTTGGCCCGTGAGCCCCACTTTGGCACCTCTGCCCTAAACACGAACCTTAAAATTAGACATTTCACTCAATAACACACACACACACATAAAATTAACACAAAAGGAGCAGGAGAAATGGTAGAGATGCTGTCACATTGTGATGATAATCATTTTTAACCTGAGGCTGTTGCATGAACATAATGTGAAACTCAGGAAGTTACCTTCATAGAAACAGTGATATAACAAACATCGGAACTTAAACTTACCTCAAGTGAAATAATCTCACATTCTGGAGTAATCGGTTGAGTTCCTGTTTTTCCTCGTTAACTGATGCAGTTCAGCTATTTTTGGAGGGTTTGGACAATGGTCAAAAGGGAAGTTATTTACGCCTGAACAATTGAAAGATTGTGCAGCAGCATATCGAGTCACAAGAGCAGTTTATCCAAGAAGAGTTTATCGTGCATTGAAAAGCAATGTTTAATGTCTTATCACTGATATTACCGGAGTTACTTTTCTTTGAAATAACAATGTTCGCCAGCTCTTTGCTAACTTTATTGTTTCAAAAATATTATTCGTTTATTTATTTATTTATTTTTTGGATAGTGCTGAACCTAGAAACCTGGCTGAAGCCTTTTTTTCTTAACTGACAACTGATAATATTCCAAGTTATCATTAAAAATAACCTTAAAGTTGCAGAAACCGCAGAACTGTTTGTGACATTATTTTTGTTTGTTTGTTTGTTTGTTTGTCATTTTTATTCATTTCATATTTAAAACACAAAAACTATTAGAAACCAAATGAGAAAAAAAAAACACGTCATAAAATGAAAGGTAGCAGAAGAAGAAAAAATCTTATCATATCTGCCCCTTGTTTAAAACAAAATCAATTCAAACAATCAATTCAAACAATAATCATCTATAAGTAATATAACAAAAATAATTAACTCATCACAATTTTACGTATTTATATGTATCTTTCCAAAATTTTAATCTTAATCATTTTCTTAAATATAGGCAATGACCTGACTTTTTTTACATCGTTTTCCAAACTATTCCACAGACCTATTCCCTGAATTGAAGTAGACCGCCCCTTTAAACTGGTTCTGTACTGTGGTTTAACAAAAATGTCTGTTCCCTTAAGATTATAGCAACTTTTCCTTTTTACAAAATACGTTTGAATATTTGAAGGTAGTGTGTAGTTCTGAGCTTTATACAGTACTAAAAGAATATTATAGTTAACCAAATCATGAAACTTCAGTAATTTCAATTGATAAAATAAAATACTAGATGGATGACAATAATGCTTTCTTGTGATAATTCTTATAGCTCTTTTCTGCAAAATAAAAATAGGCATCGTTATAGTTTTACATGCTGTTCCCCAAACATCAACACAATAAATTAAATGTGGGACTATAATTGTATTATACAGCAAATACAAGGCTTTATCATTCAATAAGTCCCTTACTTTATACAGTACTGCAGTGGATTTAGATATTTTAGTTTTTACAGAATTTATGTGCTGTTTCCATGACAGTTTATCATCAATAATTACACCCAAAAATTTCAACTCACCTACTCTGCATATCTCAACATTATGATTATTTAAAACCAACATAACTATTAATTTTAACTATGACCAACAAACTTTAGAATGCATATGAAGAATCATCTTTAGTTTGCTGTAATTCTGACACTTGCATCCATGCGGGTGTCAGGACAGAAACATTATCTTTTGAGCTTGCTGTGTTTTCCTTAGCTCAATGAATGACAACTACAGTATCTCTCCCCAAAATAAATGTATTTTCTAACTTCTTCAGCCCTAATAGAACTCTTTTTTTTTTTACTGAAGTGAGTAATTTGTCACTTACGTTCACATGTTCACAAGGTGCAACAAAGCGAAAATAGGGAGGAAGATGTGAGGAAATTTTACATTTTCTCTTTTCTCTCATTTAAAACAATATTTCCTCTCCGCGGTTCAAAGTTGTGGCTTGTGTTGAACTTCCTGTTCCGAGCTGGCGTTATCATCGGCCGTTTTCTGCTGTTACTCACCTCGCTGGCGCGCTCTGCATTGGTCGGTGCTTGTGTCGCTGTTGAAGTTGCATCTGTGCTTGGACAGCATGGCGTCGCCCTGTCCCCTTGACCTCCGCACTGTCTCTCAGATGATTTCAGGATCCGTCACCCTGGTTTGAACTGGTTTCTTCTTTCTTCCAATAGGCTAGCCACACTGGTATGCGCTCGTACATTTACAAGCAGAGCTCTGTGATTGGCTCGCAGGCAGAGCACACTGGAATGCGAACGTATTACTTCAGTGCTGACACGCAGGAGGATATGAACACCTGGCTGAAGGCCATGAACCAGGCTGCGCGGATGCAAAACTACGCCAACACACTCATCAGGTAGGACCAGAAATACACAAGTTTGTGTTCTATTCTTGTTTGGATATTTTTTTTTTAACTTCCGTTTACTTCCATAGCTTAACATTGACCCTAACCTAAATCTTTATTACCAGGACATGCCTAACACGAACTGTAGCCTAAACTCAATTCACACTCAGCTCTAAACCTGTCACTAACATAAAAATGGGCTCCACTAGATTAGGACCAGGCTTTGGTTCCCATAAAGACCACAGGTTCTGACTGGGTAGTTGATTATACTAGAAAAGGTATATAAGGAGTCCATACCCTGAAGACCCACGATAAGTGGAAAACCGCGAAGTCGGAATAGTAGTACAAGTAGTAAGTAGTAGTTTATTTTATTATTTATATATATAAAGTTGTTTAAAACACTTCCCACACTCATGCAATATTCTAAACAATGTTTCTAAACTCTAAACACTCTAAAAGAGCACAGAATGTCATGATTTCAGCTCCCTGCCTCTTCTGCTCTTTGCCGCCTGCAAGCACTCTTGGCCACGCCCACTTCTTCGCTCTGCATGATCAGCTGATCAGCTGTTTAACTGCAGCAGGAAGTTTGTCGTGCAGCAGTAAGGGCTGCACAAAGATGCACGAGGAAGCTTTTTCTGCAGCTCTGGGCTGCACAGATGTGCAGCAGCTGCTAAATCATTTAAAGTAATTTATTTTAAATTTTTTTTAAATCCATGCCGATCGTGCGGCTCATCCATCAATCAGCCAGTTTCGTGTCATGTCCAATCTTATTTTGACAAACCACGATAGGGCGAATCTGCGATAAACGAACCGATAAGTATAGAGGGACTTCTGTGCTAGTTTTTTTGCAGACCGAGTATAAGTACAAGTAGTTAAGTTTCGGTACTTGCCTATACTGAGTACCAATTTGGTAATGAGTTAGTACTTAAACACAATGACTTTAAAAATGATTATTTTTTTAAAGAACACAGCAAACAGTCTGCTGTTTTAACGTCACTTGTGTTTATCTTAAGATTTCTCCAACTATGGGCATTTTATTTATTTATTTATTGTCCGTTACTTGCAAAGTGGAAAAAGAAATTACATTATCAAGCATAAAAGTGGTTTGAAGTATTGGGGTGTTTTTATGAGTACAAGTACAAGTACAAGTGCTTGGGGCTGGTATCAGGACACCACTAGTATAAACCAAATAAAAACACATAATTGAAACAAATGAGCACACATGAACATGTGTCTTTGTCCTAAGTGACTCAGCTGTGGAATTTCAATTATACACTCTGTTAATAAGAATATTATGTTCAGTGAATAAATGCATGGCACTTTAATAAAAAGATAAAAAGAGTCATACATTGCTCTCAGCATTAATGTGTATTATGTATTTTTTATTTACTGACAAAACATCTTTCTTTTTTGTCTCATGAGCTCCCCCTCGAGTAACTTACTTTGAGCGATTTCTTTTTTCGTTGGTGTCGTTGTTAATGTTTTTTTTTTAATTGTTTTTTAATGAAACTAACAAAGAAATAATGTGATGTACATCTACAACTAATTCACTTATGGAGTGAACTCAGTTCAGATGGCCCCCCTGGCTAATTGATTATGGCAACACAACAATGGCAATAACTCAGCCCTTTTTAAAGATATTGATGTATAACTTGTTGTGTTGACAGCTGAGAGTCATTCCTAACATGAACTCTGAGCTCTAATGCAAGGTTCATTTTACCAGTAAAAGTGATTTAATTATAGTTTCACTCGGTGTTACTATGGTTAAAAGCGTTCATATTTAATGACATATTTTATTTACGTTGTTAAATAAATGTATTTGGGCCTTCGTTAGCAGATAAATACATTTATTGAAACTATGAACACACTTTTACTGTTTACTCTTTTACCGATATGAAATCTCATCGCTAATTTTTTGAAGAAAACGTTATTTGACTTTTTAAATAATTTGATATTTTTGTATAACAAAGCCATTCTAACGCATATCCTGTAGGTTCAGCTATAATATGACATCATTTTTTATTTCAGTGGTGTGCAGGGAATAGAACCAGAAACCTCAGATCCTCTACTTTCACTTTAAGTGTCACAGAATCCCTCTGTCTGATTTTTCTGTCCAAAGATTTTGGCGTTCTGTTTGAGCTGCTCTGATAAAAACCCGTTCAGATGATGGTGTTTTTGAACTAACAGCGGCTCCCTTTATGTTTTATTAACGTGTTGACGATGGGAGGTAGCGCAGATCAAATACGTCTCATCGTTCCCTGGCAGCCTCAGACATCCCCCACTTGTTTCACTTCTTTTATTTTATTTCAGCTCATTTTACAAGGAGAAATCCCACAAGACGACACTAGCTGTTAGAGAATGACAGAGAGGAAACCAAGCCTCCAGTTGGGAATTTTTCTGAAGCGTCTTTCCACCCTGCTATCATTCATTTGTGTATTTGTAAAATCTATGACAGCGATGCTATTTACTGGTGCGTTGGACTATTTTTAAAGATATTGATCATTTTTAGAGAGCGCAAATATTTGTTTTTAATGCAGACTGGTAGAATACAAAGCCATTAACACATTACTTTTAAACTAGTAGCAGCTGGACAGCATCGTGCTAATTTATGCTAAATAGTTTCAGAAACCAGCTGCTGGTGAGACGACATTAGGCTCAGAAGGCCTCTTTATTTATTCCTTTTGCGTGGTGAACTTATTGTCAGCAGCTTGAATAGTTCTCAAGGCTCAGCTCCCTTTTGCTCGTCAGTTGTTCTGCTTTAAAATCATTTACGTGGCGTATTTAGCGCCACACAAAATTTTGGAGATGAGGGTGAGAGTTTTTCTTTCACGTGACAGTCATCTAGTTCATAATTTGTCGAAAAACAAAGAAGCAAGCTGTTAGGTGGAACATGATGTTCAAGTGGGTAAATGCATCAATAGTTTTAACAGAGTGAAGCAAAACTTTTTGATAAGACTGATGACAAAGAGCTGCAAGGAGTGTTACATAACCGACATTCATCTTGGCTTGTCGTCTTTTTACAGACCTTCTGACAAGATAGAGAAGTTGTTACATCAGGCTGTTCCACAGACAAACCACGTAAACCACCACAGCATCACGACGTCAGACTCTGAGACTACAAAATCAACTGTCCACGAGGTTCTCCTGGAGCCCATTCATCGAGAGCCAGAGGAGCTCTGCAGCTTTCACAAAGACTCTCCTGGCAGCATCATGCTGGAGCAGCCCATAGGAGGTACACTGTTTGAAATGGACACGCACACGTCCCTTCCATCCAACCCTCCAGTCACTGCCGTCCCGCATTCAGACATGTCGGCCTCAGCTCCTGTGTCCAGAGCGCCGTCCCGTGCTCCATCACGGGCCACCTCCACCTTGCCCTCCAGTGTTTGCACTAGGAACGGCCTCGTCTCCACACCCAGCCCCATCCTGGAGCCAAATGGCATCGCAGCAGGGACGTACCAAAGAGCGCCAGACCCACCAGTACTGGACACACACAAGCATTTGCAGAGGAGGAGTACTCTGGAGCAGGTGGAGCAGTGGGTCAAAGTTCAAAAGGCTGAGCATAGAGGGTAAATCTCTAACATTTTTATACATTATTATGTTGAGAGTTGTGTGAGGGCAGGTGTGTTTCCCAGAAATCAGTGGTGGAGAAATGAGGTATCCACTGAAGGAAGTTGCCACGCTACACAGTAACACTAGACAATGTTCAAATGGTCAAATTAGCTGCATTTTAACGGTTGCTCCAGGTGAGCTGGACGAAGTTGGCAGGCTATGGCAAGCCGATTGTGTCATTAATAGCCACTTTTACCTATTACATGACACAACGACATGCCATACTACTCGAGTGCCATCTAGCAGCTGAAAATGGTAGTGTTCAATATTTTCAATTAGAATGAATGAAAACGGTCATATCTCAGCCAAAAATTGGTTTATAGATATGAGAAAAAAAAATCTATAAATATGTCGCTTCAGCGTATAAGTTGCAAGGTTTGTAAATTATGCAAAAAACTTGACTTATAGGATGAAAAATACGGTTTGTGCTGAATAGCTGGTACCTAAAACCATCTCCTCTGTTCAAAGTTGTCATTTTCAGTATTGATGGTTTTTATTACCTCCGCCAAGGACACTATGTTTTCGGTAGAGTTGGTTAATCTCTCTGTGCACAAGATTACTCAAAAAATAGGGAATTATGAAAATTTCATGAAATTTTCTGGAAATGTTGAGGTTGTCACAAAGAACAAATGATTAAATTTTGGTGGTGATCTGGATCACCATCTGGATCCAGGTTTTTATTTGAAGGATTCTTGTCTGTCTGTGCACAAGATGTTAGCATGTGAGTGACCCTAAGGTCTTGGCAGAGGTGTGCGCTGTGTGAAAGGTAACGTGAAGGTGACAAAGAACCTTGTGGCTGTTACAATCAATCGACCTACAGTATAGGAAGACGCATACATTGGTAGAAGGCTAAGGATGGATTTGTAAATAAAATTATGCTAATGCAAATGTGTGCAGGTGGACAGTTATCACGATCTGTTGGTTTGTTGAACGCAACGTGTAGGCAGACGCAGGCTACTCGAAGGATAAACACAATATTTGTTCAATAAAAACGAAAGCTGACGTGGCAGCAAAACTAACATTATCGATGAGGAGACACGGAGAGAGACAGAAACACGACGCCTTGCAGGACAATCTGCTGACGGGCACAACAAGGAAACAGAATATAGACACTAACAAGGAAATAATTACAAACACCTGGGGGAGGACAGTGAGGGACAGGTGCAGCAGGAGCTGGCAACATGAGGGAAACACTGAGGAAGATGAACATCACGCATAACACAGATCCTCTCAACAGTGATGGCCAGTTCCCCTGAGTTGACTTGTTTCTATTACTACTCTTTTTTTTATACTATATATACTAAATTAAGTCATTTTACATTTTGTAGTTTAGTATTTATATATTTTTAAACACAGATTTATTTGAAGCTGTAGGATAAACCCTGTATTGACCATGTAAATATGATGCGTCCTGTTGCACGTTTGCCTGATGGGATTAACGTCATAGAGATTCTTACGTTCTGTTGAAATCTGTAGACGTATTTATTGCATTTAAAAATGTTTCTGTTCAGCAGCCCCCCATCCAGAGAGAGCACCCTTCCTCGTCGCACGCCACCAAACCAGCACAAGTACTCCTCCATGGACACCTATCAGACACTGCCAAAAAACCCACGCCACAGCCCCCCTCCTGGTAGACATGGTGAATACAAGTATGCTCAGGACCGCCTGAGCCACTTCCGTCTCACCCCTGATCAGGGGTGCTCAGGGTCCAACACCGTGTGGCAACTGTACGAATGGCAGCAACGCCAGCAGTACCGCCACGGGAGCCCCACTGCGCCAATATACACCCCGGCTCCAGAGTATCCATTTGGCCCTCGCCCCCCATCCACTGTGCCTCCCTCTTCCTCAGCTCCCAGGTCAGAAGGGTCTCCTCGCTGTGTGTCAGTGCCACCCTCGTCTGCAGACGTCCCTCCACCGGGCCCTCCGCCTGGCACCAGCAGAACCCTGTCACCTGCACGGAGGCCGCACACGCCTGCTGAACGGGTGACAGTGAGGCCAATGGGTGATATGTCAGCACTGGACCTCCCCTTCGCTGTGTCCCCCCGGAGGACCAAATCTCAGATGCTGAAGGTAAATAATTATGGCAGAAGCACAAAACCACACTCTGCAACTTTTTAACGGCATTACTCGCTTTTACAAGCCATCATAAAAGGTTTTGTTCTCCGCAGCCCAAGACGTAGATCTGTGTGCATGTGAGCGTTTGACCCATTAGCAAAATGTCTTGTGAGCCCATGATTAGATTTGAATGAAACTTGGAAAGTAATCACAGGATTTATTTGTTGGAGGAAAAATGTTCTCGCTTTATCTTGCTTAAAAAGAGCCACGCTCGACGACAGGAGAAACATTTTAACCGGTATATTTACTTGCAAGGTCAGAGTTTCACAACAGTTTTCGCAGTTATACAGAAAGTACACACATGGAGTCCGGTCATGAGAATCTGCCACGGGCAGTGCCTGAAGCTTGTTTTTATACCTTATCAGCTCCTCCGAGCTCACAGGCTCAGAGGCGACCTTGAAGCAACAGTTATACCTGCAGCTTCAAATCAACTCCTCATCCAGCTCTCGAACGCAAACATACGGTTCGTGGGCAGTTAAACCTGGACGGATTCTTGTTGGTTGAAACATTTCATCTTTTATCCAAAAGACTTCCATCAGTCTGAGATATTGCAAAAAGCTCATTCTTATAAATAGCACCTTATCATAGTGGATCAACCAGTTTGCTGCTGATAGCCAGAACCAGCTATTCACATGTAAACAAATGATTTTGCTTTTATTCCCAGGGCCTGTGCTCATGTTGACATGCAACACTATAATGTCACTTCATTAGGAAGTTGTTAATGAACAATATGATAATTATTTTCCTAATAATTGGCTATGCTTGTTTTTTATCCATCCATTATCTTTACCTTTCTGGATCGCTGGTGCTCATATCACTGTGTGAGAGGCGGGGCACACCTGGACAGGTCTCCAGTCCATCACAGGGACACATAAAGACAAACGAGACAAACAACCATTCACTCACTCACACCTAGAGACAATTTAAGTATGTGGGAGGAAACCGGAGTACCCGGAGAAAACCCACACATTCAAGGAGAGGACATGCAAACTCCACCGAGAAAGGTCCCTATCTGGGATTCGATCCGGCAACCTTGGCGCTGAGAGGCGGCAGCTCTACCAACCCATGCTTTATTTTTATTGTATGAACATTTCTTTTAAGACATTTAGCTCACATTGTTATTTAAGTATTTAAGTACTATTTGCATATTGTCCAGGAAGGACATCCTTGTAAAAGAGATTGATGGATTTCTTCCTGGTAAAATAAAGGTATTAAAAAAAGTAGGGTGATAAAGTGAAAGTCTATAAAGTTCATGTTCTTTTTATCAATTATTCAAGCGCTAATGCAAAGAGAAGAGCAGAGAAGACAAAAAGCAACAGAGTACGGTGCGACGAGTGGACCAAGAAAAGGTTTCGTGCAGCTTCTCATCCGGAACATTTGCTGCTTGTAACCTAAACTGCTCTAATTCTTCTAGTTCTACTGTTCTAAGGACTTTCTGTAGGATTCCTGAAGGACAACACTTTTTTTTTTTCTACAAACAAACCAAAACTATGGAATCACCACTCTCGGAGGATGTTCTTTCAACTGTTATACTTTGTATAAATATAAATCAGACGTTCCACAAAATTACAATTTTTTTTATTCTAACTTTCTAACATTAAAAACGCATCTTGATCAAGTAGAGGAAAAGAATCACTCAAATCCAAGGGAAGAAACATGTAATCGTTAAAAAGCCACTGCCCATTAGCACTTTGTTGCGCCACCCCTGGCTTTAATAACAGCTTGCATTCTCTGAGGCACGGACCCAATAAATCACAAGCAGAACTTTTCATCAGTCTGTCTTCAGCTGTCTCTTATTGCTGTTGCCAGTTCAGGTTTGCAGGTTGAAGCGACCGTTTTCTCCAATTTCCACTGGATTGATATTCAGATGATTTGCGGACCATTCCATTGACATTTGTTTTTTCTTGAAGAAAGTTTTTATGTCCTTTTTTCTACGGCAAGCTGCAGTATCATCTTGAAAAGTGAAGTCATTAGCAAACATAATTTCAACTGATGGAATGAAAATTGTCCAAAATCACATAGACTTTTTATGATGCCATTACATCTTCAATAAAAGTCTACATTATGAGTATATCATTATACACTGATGACTCTCCCGTGTTCTGACCTGAAACAACGCTTTCATCCAGTCTCTCACAGTCCATGATAGATATTTTTATATCCCTTTGTAACCTTATTCTTTTCTGTTTGGGCGTTAATGATGGCTTTCGTTTGGCCATTCTGTATACAGCAGTCCCTCGCTACTTCGCGGTTCGTTTTTCGCGGACTCGCTCTATCGCGGCTTTTCAAAATACGATTGGACACAACACACTGATTGATGGATGAGCCGCACAATCGGCATGGACTTTTTATTTTAAATAAATTATTTTTAAAAATGGTTTAGCGCCTGTGTGGAGCCCAAGCTGCAAGAGAAGCTTCTTCGTGCAGCGTGTCATATCTCTGCTGTGCAGCGGAGAAGTGGGCGTGGCCAAGAGCGTGCAGCTGGAGGCAGAGAGCTGAAATCATGACATTCTGTACTCTTTTAGAGCTTTTAGAGTTTAGAAATACCGTATTTTTCACTGTATAAGTCACGCCTTTTTGCATAAATTGGCAAGTCCTGCGACTTATACACCGAAGCGACTAATATACGCCCCCCCCCATTTTTATAACCCAATTTTTGGATGAGATCAGATGATTTCATTCATTCTGACATGAAAAATATTAAACACTACCATTTTCAGCCACTAGAGGGCCCTCGAGCCTTATGGCAAGCCAAGTGTCTCATTAATAGGTAAAAGTGGCTATTAATGAGATACTTGGCTTGCCATACCAAGCTACCATCATCCCTCCTTTGTTTCATCTGACATGTTTTGTGCTGGAGCCATGATTCCCGTCAATATGTTTTGTGCAACAGCTCTTCAAGTTGTGAGCAGTTTTTTTTTTTTTTACTTGACGACTATTTAGTAGATTTATTATCATACAGGTGTTTGTAATTTGCAATTCTGAAACAGAGTGATTTCCACATTTATTTCTTTTAAATTTTGTAATTTCATATTCTTCCTCTACTTGATCTGGGAAATAAAAGAATTGTGACTGACTACAGAAATTATATATATATATATTTTTTTTTTATTTATTGTTTCTTAATGCTATAAGGTAGTATTTTTTTGTTATTATATTTTGTTGGCATTGCTGTGATTTACATTAATACAAAATCAAACACATATTGAAGAGTTGTGATGATGTAGTTGCACTCATACAGCAGATGGAATAAATTATAGTAATATAAGTTTTGCCAGCAGGTGATGAGGTAACATTATGTTAGAATTGTTACATTCTAGACTTCAGCGCTGCTCCTCTGTTTTTATTGGATTTTAGTGGCGAACATGATAAATTGTTACCAATATACACTATCTCCCTTTTATCCCAGTTTTACATTTTCTATTTTGAAAGCCAGCTCTAGTTGTGTGATTACACGCTCAGCCAGTCTCCTTAGACATCGTCTCGTCTTATTACCGTACAGTTACGTTGTTTGAACGGTCCCAGTACAGCTGAGTGTCAGGTGGTTTTTATCATTAAAAAAGCCAAATAAAAAGAGACTATTAAAGCATCCGCATGAAATACAATCACCTGCAGTTCTGCAGAAGAATTGCCATCAGTAGTTTTAAGAACTGTGCAAAGAGTCCTGCAGTCTGCAAGCTCCTAATTGACATGGGTGGTGGCTTGAGCTGTGCTTCAGTGAGCTAAAAGGCAGACTTCTCGTTAGAGCTTCTAGTATGTATGTATGTATGTTTTATTTATTCATTTCATTTCATCCAAACAACAAATATAATACATTTTAAAGAAAAGAAAAAAGATATACAATCACAGAAATAAAATGAAAGGCAGCAGAAGAAGAATGAGTTCTTATAATATCTGCCCCTTGTCCCCAAAGTATATTCCAAACAAAATTACTATACAAAAGCAAGATGAATTAATAAAAAAATAAAAAATAATAAAATAAAAACTTAGCTAAAATATAAGATCAACTGTAAACAATTTTTATGAACTCACATTATACTTAATATTTTTTTAAAAAACAAATTTTTATCATCTTCTTGAATATGTACATAGTTTTGTCATTTTTAATATCAACCTCCAGATCATTCCACAATCTAATACCCTGAGATCTAGTGGATCACATCTTCAGACTGGTGCGACACCACGGCTTCACAAACATCTCCATCCCCTTAAGATAATAATTACTTTCTCTTTTAACAAATTTCCCTTGAATGTTAGTAGGTAGTATGTTTTTGTTGGCCCCATACATAAACAGTAAGATATTGTAATCAACCAAGTCATAAAATTTTAATATCTTTAGCTGATGAAACAATATATTTGACGGATGGTTATAATCTTTTCTGGTAATAATTCTTATGGCTGTTTTCTGTAAAATAAAAATTGGATTTGTAATTGTTCTACATGCTTTACCCCAGACTTCAATACAGTAAATTAAATGTGGAACAATAATGGCATTATACAATAGAAACATTGATTTATCATTGAATAACTCTCTAACTTTGTACATTACTGCAATCGATTTAGCTTTTTTAGTTCTTAAGTTTTTTACGTGAGATCTCCATGTTAGTTTTTCATCAATGATGACACCCAGAAATTTCACCTCATTGACTCTATTAATTTCAATTCCATCGACTCTAAATGGAGTATCAAGCACTTTCTTGTTATTACTAAAAATCATATAATTTGTTTTATCAACATTTAAAGATAATTTGTTTAGTTGAAACCAATTTTGTATTTTCACAAATTCTGTTTGTGCCATCTTCAGCATTTGCACAACATTTTCACCCACACAAAGAAAAGTAGTATCATCTGCAAACAAAATACATTTAAAAAATCCAGACACATTTACCAGGTCATTCACATATAAAATAAATAGCTTAGGTCCAAGTATAGAGCCTTGAGGCACTCCACATGTAATATTACAGAATTCAGATTTTACATCATTTATTTGAACAAATTGTTTCCTTTTTTCTAGATAACTAGATACCCACTGCAATGCATGCCCTCTAATACCATATTTATTTAGTTTTTTGAGAAGAATATTGTGATCAATAGTATCAAATGCTTTCTTTAGATCAACATAAATACTAATACAATATTTTTTTTGATCCACAGCCGTCGTTATCTGTTCCATTAAATCCATGAGTGCCATTGACGTAGAATTTTTAGGTCTAAACCCATATTGACTATTACTTAATATATTTTGCTTATTGATAAGTATGCATTTAATCTGTGTAAAAGATGGTAAAAAGCAAAGATTCATCACATTATACTGTCGCAAACAATCTGCACGTAGAGATTGCCATGAAGATATTGAATAAGTTAATGAAAAACGATAACAATTAGTTGTCTGTTTTGAGTAAAAACAGTATGCAAATGTGTTCCCGTACTCCCCCACACATATTCAAACACAGGCAACATGCCCTGAGAAAACAAACTAACACAGTCTTGTCAAGGTTGCTTTACACTTTGCATCATGCATGCAACAGAGTGTTGCTTTTTTTTTTTTTTTTAATCAAGAATATCTCGTTATACAGTAATATTCAAGTCCATATTAAACCTTGTGTTTCTATAACTGTACCACAACAAAATACCAATGTTCTTTTAGTCTTAGAAAGTCTAGATTTTGATTTTCTGGACATGTCTGAGTTACTAACTTAAAAGCTACAGACACGCGCATGCATGTCATCTCATGGTTTATGATTAAGGAGGTAATAGGAAAGATAAAGAAAAGGATAAATTCAGTTGTTTTTTGTTTTTTTTAGAAATCGCCTCTGTTGGGAAGTTAAGTGTTTAGAATTTGTTTAGGGAATACGTATCTCTCGCCACCTTTCAATGCCAGACTTTTAAACTAATATAAATGACAGTGCTGTGGCTGTTTGGGTCAAAGCATGTAAATTACACTATATGTGGTCTCATGCAATATTTACAGACCTCGCAAGATCTGTTCGTTTTTGTAGTATGTGTTGAGGAGTTCTCTCATCTACTACCACACCAAACAGGAACTCCTTCTTAGAAAACGTGATTAAGTTATAGCCATATTTCTCTTTGCTATGTTTGATTAGCTGTGGCAGACATTTTGAATTGGTGAGATTTCATAAGGTGATATCGTAGAAATACGTCCAGTGATTGCTTTCTGAAATTATCAGTATAATTTCATTAAAATCAATCTTGTTATTTAGTAGATATTCAGCTAATGAACACACAATGAGCCTATGTAGACACAGGCAAAACATTATAACCTTTTCAACCTTTGACAACAAACAATATTAAGTGAGAATTTGTATAAATGTAAAATACACAAGTACTGTATGTATAGTTTTTCATTCATTCAACCTTTATTTATGCAGGTTAATCCCATTGAGCCTCGCGGACTCATTTACAAGAGAGACCTGATTTTAACAAAGAATGATTAGACAACAATAAACATCATAAAGGATGCATCCAAATTGAAAATAACAAGTGAAAATAAAATGGTATTAAAGTAAATGTAACCAAAAAACAGCTAGGTTGTAAGGCGATGTAGAAAACTAAAAACAGGAACATGTCTGCGTTGGTTTTCGCCAGGAACTTAGCAGATGTTTAAAGCCACTTAGAGAGGTCAAGGTCGAGAGCTTTAGATATTTTTCATTCAGATATTCTTTATTGTCGTTCGCACCACATGTGGTACATGTGGCGGTACGAAATTATGTACACAGGGTCCCAGTTACATCCAACAATAAAATGTAAAAAAAAAATACATTAATAAGATCTAAGATATGAACTAAGAAAAACATAAACTAAATATACACTAAGCACTAATAGCATAAAAGCAATACGCGTAACAGCAGCACGAACATGAGTCTGTGTGAGCAGATGAGCACGCATGAACACAGCAACATGAATTTCGAGGATAAAATCAAAGTAAGAACTGTTGGGATCGACTTCCCGTTTGAAAAAAGCATCCCTTTGTTTTTTTCTGCGTTTAGGACAAGTTTGAGACGGAACAAATCAGATTGGATGATGTCAAAAGCGGATGGCAAAAACGTTAGCAACAGTTTTAGCTCGACAATAAACAACTGTGTCATCAGCATAGAAATGTAAGGATGCATCAGGGATGCTCTGACCTACTTTACCTATGCAGATTATAAAGAGGGTGAGTCCTAAGACTGAGCCTTGTGGTACACCATTGTTGACTGTTAAATAACTGGAGGAAGTACCATTATGTTGAGCACATTGCCTCCGGTCTGAGAGATAGTTAGAGAACCAACCAACGGTGTGATCTGAGAAACCAATGTCTGAGAGCTTATGACACAAGATGTTATGATCCACAGTGTCAAAGCTTTAGACAGGTCTAAGAAAAGTGCAGCACAATAATCCTTAGCATCCATTGCTATAATAATATAATGTATGAAAACAAAAAGGCCAGTCCACTGTAAAAGTATATTCCATAATTTTATAGAACACGCATAGAAAAGTTAACATTTTTTTGCCAAGAAGTCTGTAAAATTAAGTCTGAAAACATGAAATTTCAAAATGAAAGACTTGTAAGAACCATGTGTATACTTAGAAGGACATTTCATTTATAGGTAAACATTTACTATGAATGTGTGTATTCATGCGTTGCAGACTGCTACTGTAGAGAGGCGCTCTATGCCACCATCCGGCTACATCACACACACAGTGAGTGCGCCCAGCCTTCATGGCAAAACGGTAAGTTTTAATAACCAGTATCGTGTTTATATTTATATACTGGTTTTTGGCCAACAGAACCATAAAACCTAACATTTTAGGAAGCAGTCTTTAAGAGGTAGTTTTCTTGTGTTCAGTTTTTAGCAGCCGTAAAATTAGTTTCCAAAAGTGAATCCATTCGCTACTACTTTTTCCTAACAATACTTTTTTGATGAAGCTGACCTGGTGGTTGTTGATTTTTAGCATTGTTGTGGAGGAAAGGCTCCTGCCAGCCTGTCACGTAGAGCATCTTTGTACCTGATATGTTTTAACCTAATAGATCTTTAATGTGGCTCCAGTTCTGCTCATCCTATCTGGCCTTCACTACATATGCACTTTTATGTAAAAGTAAAAATGCACAGTCAGTGTTAAGGTTTGCCTAACTGTGTGACCTGTGGTGCCTGTGACAGCCCGAGGAGCTCACTCTGCTCCTCATTCAGCTGCGCCGCCACCAGGCCAAGATGGCCTCTGCACGCCAGCAGACCTTTGCCCAACTGCAGCAGCTCAGTGGTCCCCAAGAGTCCTGCCTCAAAAACCAACTTCTTGCTGCTCCCACCACTAGCACCAGCCTCGTCCTCAGCTCGAACCCCTCTCCTGAGTCCCACCTTGGACATGTTGGCCTCTCAACTCCACTTGGCCCTTGCAGTACCCAGGTGCGGGCCCCAGTGGCGCACAAGCTCAACAGGAGCCGGAAGAGGTTGCCATTAAGTAATCTTTGTACATGATGAACAAACATTGTATAACGTTGAGTTTATGATATTGGAAATATTTTTAAATTCAATGTGAGTGCAGCTTTTGTGTTACTTTGTGATCCCCAGCTGTAAACAACAACATTAGCCGGGTCATGGCAACCTCGACCAAAAAGCTCATTGTTTGCTGTTGGTGACCTGGCTGCTGAAAATCGTTTGTCTCTTTACAATCTGCTGTTCTTGGCTGATCAGTTTCCATACTGTGCTTTTACTGATCATGCCCAAAGCATGTTGGGTTTCTATTTTTTATGTATACAAAGCCATCTCATCTTTTAGCTGATTGGCAAGCTTTAGGTGTGTTGGTCAGTTTGGTCTTCTGGTGAATGGCTCTTGTTTTTCTGTGATGAAGCTTGTTTTGTGGTGTTTTTGCTGTTTATGTGACATAAATTCAGCGGTGAGTTCAGCAGCGTCTCAGGATCTGTTGCCTCATGAGGAGTCTGGTTTGTGCTGGTCCGTTGTTTGGATGTGTTCAACTTGTCTCGAGACAAAATTAGTGAATGTCTTCTGAAGTGTTGGTGTGACTCCGTCAAGATGCATGTCAGACACATAACAGCTGTCCAAACTGCATACTTGCAGAGATATTTCAGATCTTTTCAAGTGGGGTTCTCAGTGATTATCTTATCTGTAGTAGAGATCTCCTTGAACAGCCTCAGGTTGGAGAAGTTCTGGGGGAAATTGAATTCTGGTCAAATTACCAAGCTAAACGCTACAGTGCCAATAAATAGTATTCATCCCGTTGGATGTTTTACCCTTTCATTAATATTATAAATCAGTCAGTCAGTTTACTGACAAACTTGTTTTTCCAAAATCCTCTTCAGTAACAAAGTGATATCAAATTTCTCCAGTAAAATAAAAAAGAGAATAAAAGATTTTTGAGACGTACAAGTCAAGGGATGGGTGTATAAGGATTTCCAAGGCTCTAAACGTCTCCAGGAGTTCTGTTAAATCCATCGTCAATGAATGGAAGGAAGATGGGACATCTACCAATAGCAGGCTGTCCTCACAACCTGTGTGACCATGCAAGAAGGACAATAAAGACAGACCACCTCTCTGAAGGAGGACAATTTCAGCAAGCCAGATGGGAAAGACTGTGCATACAACACAGTTCTTATGCAGGCCATATTTTTCCACAGAAGACCACTTCAGAAGATCTGAATTATTCTTTTAAACACAAACATCACATTATTCGACTAGAATAATTGTGTTTTTTGCTTGTGTATGTGGTCTAGATCAGACGTGGGCAACTTAAGGCCCGAGGGCCAAAAGTGGCCCTTGGACAATCTCCATCAGGCCCCCATTATCCTTAGTTAAATAAAAACAAGATAAACAAACCAGCAATTTATCAAGGAGACTTAAGGAAAGTTAAATTAAACATCGTACAAAAAACTTTTTTAAAAGCATGTTTTAAGTCATTGTGTTTCCCGAACTACTTAAAGGCATAGAAGCACAGATATGTTTGTTTTGCGTATTTCCTCCAATGTGTATAACATGTTAAGCTAACGTGTGTAATATATCGCCACAAGAGCCAGTTTGCAGAATATGTCTTATACAGTAGTCCCTCGTTTATCACGGGGGATCTGTACCCTGAAGCCCCGTGACAAGTGAAAAACCGCAAAGTAGGAATAGTGGTACAAGTAGTAGCTTATTTATTTAATTTTTTTTTTTTTATTAAGCTTTATTTAACCAGGCAAGTCCCGAGATCACAGATCTCTTTTGCAAGAGAGGCCTGGGCCTGAAGGCAGCCTAACATGCATGTTTTTGATCTGTGGGAGGAAACCGAAGTACTCGGAGAAAACCCATGCAAGCACGAGAAGAACATGCAAACTCCACACAGAAAGACCCCAGAATTTATTTTTTGTACAGTATATATGTATATATAAATATATATATATATATATATATATATATATATATATATATATAT